TGTTCCATCCACGTGTTCCATCCACGTGTTCCATCCACGTGTTCCATCCACGTGTTCCATCCACGTGTTCCATCCACGTGTTCCATCCACGTGCTTGGCAGGCAGGCAGCGTCTTGAGATCTCAATGCATGTGGCCCCGTCCCTTCAAACACGTCCTCACATACTCGATAAGAAGACGCTCGTTTTAAGCACCCCCTCATCACCTGGATGAACACGTTGTTCCAGATCTCAATGCACGTGGGGTCGTCACTCAAACACGTCTCCACATACCCGTTCAAAAGGCACTCGCTTAAAGCACGCGTCGATGCTCTCACCTGGATGAACACGTTGTTCCAGATCTCAATGCACGTGGGGTCATCAGCGTTCACCAGAGCAGCAGCATCGCGCCCGCCCAGGCGGTCAAAGTGGATCTCCGTGCACGGCCCACACGGCCCTGTGTCACCCATCTCCCAGAAGTTATCCTGCATGCACAAGCATGGGTGCAAATACACATGAGAAAAGGCATCTTTCAGAGCTGGTATTCCAGTGCATATAAAATTGAGTGGGAGCACAGGCACAGGGGTTACATGACCACACGGGCATGTGTGGGCCATCCAAGAATGAAGTCATGCAGTGAACCAGGGACTTCCATAACGAGGACGAGACAAACCTTGCAGCCGTACGGCAGCACACGGCTGGCTGGGAGCACGGTGAGCCAGATGTCCCGAGCCTCCAGGTCTGGTTCCAAGCCTAGCTTCTCGTCCCCGCCAAAGTAGGTGGCATAAAGCCGATCCTCTGGCAGCTTGTACACCTGATGCACGGAAACAGGGGGTAAGACACACAGGGGGGCGGGTTGAGGTGGGGGGAAGGAGGGCGGGTGGAAGGTGGGTGGAGGTGGAATATGCCGATCCCCTGGAAGCTTGCACACCTCTTGCAGGGAAAAAGGAGGTAAAACACGCAATCTGAAGTGTAAGAAAAGAGAGAGATTGTACCAGCTACCAGACCTAACTGTGTTACCAGCTCCCAGACCTAACTGTGTTACCAGCTCCCAGACCTAACTGTGTTACCAGCTCCCAGACCTAACTGTGTTACCAGCTCCCAGACCGAACTGTGCTGCCAGCTCCCAGACCTACCTGCGTGAGGAGCTCCCAGGCCCACGTGATGGCCTCCTGCTTGAAGTAGTCCCCGAAGGACCAGTTGCCGAGCATCTCAAAGAAGGTGTGGTGGTACGTGTCCTTGCCCACGTCGTCCAGGTCGTTGTGCTTGCCGCCCGCGCGGATGCACTTCTGAGAATTCACCGCGCGCTTGAGCGATGCCAGGGGGCTGCGCGGGTCAACCGTTCCCAGGAAGATGGGCTTGAACTGGTTCATGCCTGGCGGGGGGAGGGGGGATGTGAGGTTGAGTGCTTGCCAGCGCGGATGCACTTCTGCGAGTTCACGGCGCGCTTGAGCGAGGCAAGGGGGCTGCGCGAGTCCACAGTGCCCAGAAAGATGGGCTTGAATGAACTGGTTCATGCCTGGCGGGGGAGGGGGAGGGGGAGGAGGGGAGAGGGGGGAGAAGGTTGAGTGATTGTGCTTGCCACCCGCGCGGATGCACTTCTGCGAGTTCACCGTGCGCTTCATTGGTGCCAGGGGGCTGCGCGGGTCCTCTGATCCCAGGAAAATGGGCTTGAACTGGTTCATGCCTGGCAGGGGGAGGGTGGGAACGGGAAGGGAACAGATGGGGCGAGGGGGAGGTGGGGTAACGGACGGGATCAAAGAAATGAGCGACAATAAGACTCGAGGTATTGAGATCAATTGAGTTTTAACCAGCGCGGACGTTGTGATTGGAACAAGTGTGCATCAACTCGAACGGAACCCGAAGGCCAAACGAAGTGATTCTGACGACGTTTCCGCACGACACGGCGGATAACGATGCGGCACGCATCCCGACATGCCAGGCGCGCACACAGCCGCCGACTTGGTCAACCTGACGTTCAAAGTTGTTCGTTGTCTTATCAGTCGACTCAAGTCACGTTGCCAAACGCCACGAGTACACAGCCGTCGATCTGGTGAATCGGACCATCGCGAGAAGCGTGACACGTGTACGGGTACGATTGCATAATAAGTGTACCGGGTTTGAGTCGCCTCAAGAATCTGACCATGTTGAACATGAGAGACCCATGTGAGTGTACGATCTTTGAACATTTGGGATCCCACAGTCGGTGCATGACATCCCTGGGCGCATCTAACGCTGAGAAACCCGCTCTTGTTCTTCCACACCGCAGTACGCCTAAATCGAGATCGCTAGCAATCTCTATAACGAGGACACGAGACTGACGCTGGCAGCGCAGCGTAGAGCCAGATCCAGGTGAATTTGTGAAATTGATTCCAATGATAGCGAGGGACGCTCCTGTATCGCGAGCGCACTAACTGACGATTCTCTATAACGAAGGAAACGACTTGCGAAGGGGGTGGTCCGGCAGGCACTGATCGTCGCTCCTGTATGAAGAGAAAACTAACTGTCGTTGCTGCAGCTTAAGCGCACTGACCGGCGTTGGCGAAGAGCAGCGTGGGGTCGTCCAGCGGCACGACCAGGCTGGACGGCACGTGCGTGTGCTCGCGATCCTTGAAGAACTGCAGGAACGTGTCGCGCACGCGCGTCGCCGGCCATTCCAGCTCCGTTCCTGCTCACGAATCGCACATACAACAGGAGATTAATCTCAGGCCTCTAGGGTATTACTACAGATTTAAAAAACCAATAGTAGGCTCGTTACACTATCTACCTGATGCTGATCTGCCCGACATTGCGGCTCGGAGTGGCAGAATAGGAATGCACGCAGATCGGAGGAGCAGCTAACTCAGGAAGCTGAACGCGTGTGGAGTAAGCTAGACCCGCTTTGTGACTTGGGAGTGGCAAAACAAGGGAGCACGTGGCCACATCTTCTGGCGGCGATTATCTCCAGGGTGCTGGCTGAAGGAGCAAAGGTCAAGGGGGATAGAGTGTATTTGCGACTTTATCTCAGTTTCATAACTACCTCGGTTTTCGATAGTGTTCGAAGAAGGGCGTCGTGGCTGGTGTTTGGATGGTGTTTCTACTTTCGCTTATTGCGACGGTTACCAAATGGCAGACCTCGCATTGATGTCAACGGCTAGGGCCTAGTGGATGTTCGTTCCAGTCAAGTTTTCCGAGCTTCCAATTCCAACTGAGACGACTTCTCAAGTTCGCATTTTCTCCCAACGAAACTGCCCCAATTTCAGGTCCTCAAAACTGCTTCCTCTCTCGCACTCCACCTAAGTACAGATGTTCTCGATTAGAGTCCCAGTGAAAAACACGCGCGCTGCGGGCCTTTGTGGAAAACTCACAAACCCCGGGCAAAAGGGAACTTATAGTCCCATAAAAGGATAATTGCATGAAGAGCGCTTTTTTTTTGCTACTATTCGTGTTGCTCTGTCACATACGTACATTCGGACTACGCTGTCCTCAACTTCTCGTCGCACGGTTCGCCGCGTTGATCAGTGTCGCAGGACAAACGGGCAGAAAAATACAAAATAAATTATGTTTAAGGCCGAAATGAAGACAACAGTTTCTGTTTTACACTGTAAGCGATATTAATGAGATGGCATCGTCGGAGCTCGCGGGGAATCGCGCGACAGGATGTAGACGCAAGAGAGGTCAAGATAACCAGACAAACACAACTGCTAGTACTAAATATTTACTCAAAACTTCCTTTCGTTTTATTTTCTTTTATTGTTCTGACAGGTTCGATTTGCGTCCTCTGGTTGGCTGCGGAACTGATTCGCGCAATGATTCAGTCAAGATGCAAGATTTCCCGCCAAACATGGGACTGTAGAGGATGGGATACACCTATGACCTATGTGAAAGATCTACTCGTTGAGGAAAAGGAACTCTTTTAGGAAGGGCCTCTAAGCCAGAACATTTGTATGACACGGGCGCCGAAACAATCCCCAGTTCGGCCTTGTCGCTGTGAACCGTGTACACCCTAATGCTCACTCAACCGCCCACTCTGAACTCGCCCGCTGCCACTCCATACGCCCAGTGGTCGACATTCACAGCCAACGGCCCGCGCGTTACTAGCCCACGACAAAACCAAGATGTTCGAGTTTCCCAGACAAAACACGCTGGGCTACCCACAATTTCCGCAACAGTAGTTTTTTTGTCATCCTTTGTTCTACATTCAGTCCCATTCTGCCCCTAGTGAACTCATGCTCGAGAGAGGAGCACAGGGAAAGATGGGGAAGGAGACTGAAATGGGCATCACGTGTATCGGAAGTACGGGTCACTGGTGACTAGCTATGAAACGCACGGTTGATTCGAGGAAAACTTTCACATGCGTGTGATTGGTTGGTGTAGGACGGTCAGGTCGGTGATACTGTATATGTTCATTCAATCGCATTCACCTACACAGTGACCTGTTTTGGTCGTCAACTGCTATCCAATGACGAAGATTTTCTCGCCGTCAACTTGCTTATCTTGGGCTGCCAGGCTCCCTGGTGGTAACCTCCCTCCACAGTCAAGCTCATCGGTGCTTTGGATTCTGCCGAGCCTTCTGCCTTGGTTTGGGGTTATTCGGCCCGGACAAACCAACACCTATGGCAGGCAGATGAAGTTGGTTGGCCAAGCCAAGAGCGAAGCGGGATCATCTCAAGACAACTACCTCGAGTTGCGTTTTTAGGACCTAGAGGTTGCCTGAATTATCCTCAGGCTGCCTTATCTCCCCCAAACTCCTCACCTTTGCTCAAGGTGGGCCGCGGTGGACGTGGATAAGACATGAACCTTCCTCGTCACACCTGCTTTTGTAAATGAGAATTGTGACGGTATGATGCGGCCGATGCAGTCCTATGTCCCATACGGGACTGATAGCAAGCAAGTGTAACTGACTGATGATCGTGCAGACTTCCTTCATCACTAAGTTCCCGCAAGACATGGCCTTAAGTATCCATTCTGGGCCCAACTTTAGACAAAATTCAAACCGTTAAGGGACGCGGTATTGGAGCGAAATGCAGCCGCAGCCGCAGCAGATGCAGGCGGGACCGCAGCGGATGCAGCATTCCCAGCCGAACAAGCAGCCGATTTTCATGCAAAGACAACCCCCGTCACCTCAACGCCAACAGCAGCAGCAGCCGGAGAGTCCGCAACCTGCATCCGTGCGGCAGCGGTCGCAGAATGGTCCCAATCAGGAGGTCATGACTTCAGGCCGACCTCTGGTTGGCGGTAGAGGCGGTCGAAATCAGCCTCCTGGGTACGCGTACGATCAGCTCAGTCGGTACTGCGTTGTTAATTTTTTAGTTGAACAAAGAAAATGCCGGAATTAGTCACCTGGGTCGGTAATGGCGTTATGAGCTGAGTCGGAAATGGGTAGTTACGCGCGTTGATTAAACTCGTTCTAGTCGGCACGCGTATGACGAGCTATGTCGGCACTAAAGAGTACAGATACGATGAGCAAAGTCGGTGCTGCATACGCGTGGAATCTGTATCGGCACGCGTATGAGCTGTATTCGGTTCTTTGTCGTGTAGAGACATTCGCCGAAACACGCGGGAAGGGTCAAGAAGCAGCCGTGTTTTTTTTTTTTACCGTTCAGCTTCCCTCCGTTCTCTCCGCCTTCCGCTTCCGCCCTCTCCTCTTGCTGACTTTCCCCTTTTCTCCCCCCTTCCTCCATTCTCCTCCCCCTCCTTTCTTCGCGCACCTTTCCCCCCAACCGCTTGTTTTGAGGCGCATCGGGCACATCGTCCCCCGTGTCAATTCTCGCCTTCCCGCCTCCGCTCAATTGCCGCTATTCCCTATCCCCCCCTCTCCCGTGTCGATTCTCTCCCTCCCGCCTCTGCTCAATTGCCCCTATTCCCTTAAACCCGCACTTCCCCCAGCAGCGCAGAGCCAGGCGCAAGCGGCCCCCCGCTCAACAAGATGCGGAGAACCCACAGCGAGAAGCAGAGCAGCGCGGGGATCGCACGGGCGGGGGGAAGCGGAAGCAGCTCGGGTAGCGCGGCGGAAGAAGCCCCGCCTTGGGCGCGGGGAGTGCCCAGCGGACCCGCGGGTGGCGCAGGCGGAACATGGGGAAGCGCGGGGGGAGCGATGGGTGGAGTGGGCAGTCCTGGGCGCGCCGGCGGTGCGCCCCCGCTTGTGTCAAGTCCGCATTACATGCAGCAACCGCCGCCGCTGCACCCGCGGTCTGTATCAGACGAGGACAGGGACAGGATTTCCGCCATGAACCCCCCTGCGGGCGCAGCTGCTGCGCGTATGGCGGCCGCGAGTAGGCTGGCGCAGGCTCAAGCGCAGGCGCAGGCGCAGCGGGGGAACGCGGAGCGGGAGGATGGATCCGCGTCTGATGGGGGGGGGACCGGGCGGGGTGTAACTAGCGCGGGATACCGACCCATGCCGCAGTTTCAGCAGCAGAACAGGGGCATGTTCAAGGCGGAACGGAGGAGGAGCTTGGATCTCTGCACGGAGAAGGTGGGCTCGCCAGTTAAGGGGGGAATGCAGCGGATTGGGTCGGGGGAGGCGCTTGTTCCGGTGCAAAGGGCAGGGCCGCGGTTGCAGTCAGAAGGTGGGGGGATGGGAGCGGTGGAGGGCACGTGGGAAGCTGGTAGTGGCCAGCAGAATCAGGCCCATCAGGCCGTGCAGTTGCAAGGGCAGCAGCAACAGCAGCGCCTGCAGACGCAGCAGCAGCAGGGACAGAAGCAGCAGCAGCAGCAACAGAGCATGCGGAGCAGCGCTGCTGGTTCAGGTGCTGGAGGTGCTGGTCCGGGTAGTGCTGGTTCGGGTAGTGTTGGTTCGGGTAGTGCTGGTTCAGGTGCTGTTGCCGCAGGCGCTGCTGGTACTGGTGGTAGCGCAGGGGGAGGGGGAGCGGGAGGGGGATTGGGAGGCAGAGGAGGGAGGGGCGGTCGAGGTGGGAGGGGTGAGGTTGTAGGGAGGGGGATGGGGATGGGGGGAAGAGGGGGAAGAGCAGGACCAGGCTCACGTGTACGAGAAGGTGAAAGGGATGGCGTTGTTGCTGGTGCTGGTACGGGTGCTGGTGGTGGTGCTAGCGCTGGTACTAGTGCTGGCGCTAGTGCTAGTGACAGAGGAGGGGCAGGGCAACAGCAGCAGGGTCCGCAGCAGCAGCAACAGCAGCAGCAGCAGCAGCAGCAGCAGCAGCAGCAGCAGCAGCAGCAGCAGCAGCAGCAGCAGCAGCAGCAGCAGCAGCAGCAGGGTCAGCGCATGAGAAGGCTGTCAGCGTCGTCTGTTGGCTCAGCTGCCAGTGATGCTAGCGGAGCCTCTGGCGCTAGGGGCGCAGCAGTTGTAGCGGGATCAGTAACAGGAGTTGTAGCAGGAGCGGGGGAAGGGAGTGCAGGGGCGGATGGCGGAGAGGGAGGAGGCAGAAGTGGGAGGGAAATCACTGGAGGGGAAGGGGCAGCAGGGAACAAGCCACTCGTTGCTGCGACTGCTTCACGCATAGAATCAGAGCCTGCTGGAAATATTACCGTGACCGTCTTACGTTCCTCAGGTGCTCCAGGTGCCTCAGCAGGTGCTTCTGGTGCTGCTGCAGCTCGGCTAGACATAGACCTGTACAGCCCCCTCCCTGGCGGCAGTTTCAGCAGCTCCGGCGTTACCGCTCTTGCCGCAACTGATTCTCTTAACGGGACTGACAGAAACGAGTCAGCTACTAACGGGGATGGCGAGCTAGACGCCACAGGGTTTGAAAGCGCGCCAAGTTCGAAATCCCCCCAAAAAGGCAAGAAAGGGGCGAAGGGAGAAGGGAAGGTGCAGGGGAAAGGGAGGAGAGACGGAGGGGAGGGTTCAAGCGGAGGATCAGCAGATGCTGATGATTCGAGTGCAGGGGAGGGGGGCCGAGGAGGGGGCAGGGGTGGACAGGGAGGGAAGAGTGGAGGGAAGAAGAAGAGCGGGAGGACCAAGTCAGGGTCCGTGACAGGGATGGTGACCCACAGGCGGGCAGCGTCGTCACAGGGCCAGGGGAATGGCGCCGCTGAGAAGGTCTCAGCGTCAGAGGCGGGTGGGGGTGGCAGCAATGGGGGGGATCGTATAATTTCTGTGCCTGGCGGCACTAGGGACGCTTCTGGTGCAGCTGATGCCTCTGATGCTGCGCCTGGTGGTGACGACGCCCTTGCTCTCTACAGGTACGCCTTATCCCCATCGTCTCTACTGCTGCTGCTGCTTTCCCCCTCCCCTCTCATCTACCTCCCCATTTCCATCCTCCTACCCCTCTCTCCCCCGTCTCCCCAGGGCCGGATCCCCGTCCATAGGCCAGCTGCAGCTGCTGGTGTCCCCAGCTGTCTTCTCACGAGTCATCAGCTGCAACGCTGCTGCTGCTGCTGTTTTGAGATGCCCCAGTGAAGACATGCTGTGGGGCAACTCGCTCTGTGAATCCCTCTGCCCAGACCACGTGCCTAGATTCGAAGTGAGTAAATACGTGCCTTATTTCGCCCCTATCCCACGGGTGTAAGCAACCCAGTGAGGACATGCTGTGGGGCAGCTCCCTCTGCGAGTCCCTCTGCCCAGACCACGCGCCAAGTTGAGGTCCCTATGCCCCAAGTCCCCTGAGTGTATGCGTCCCAGTGAGGACATGCTGTGGGGCAGCTCCCTCTGCGACTCCCTCTGCCTGCACCACCGTTTCCCCCCACCTGCACTCTGCCGCGCCACCCTGCTCACTCCTCCCCCCTCTCCCCACCCCCCTTCGCCTTCTCTCCTTCCCCTTCCCCGCTTCCCCCTTCTACCTCCCCTCTCCCTCTTCCCCCTCCTCCTCAACCCAGGCATGGCTGCTTCTGGTGGCGCATATGGTTCACTCAGCAGCACTCCCCGCCCACCTGCACTATCACACCTCAGCCTCCGTTACTCCTTCCCCGTCACCTCGCCTTTCTTTCCCTTCCCCCGTTCCCCTTTCTCCCTCCCCCCGTCCCCTTTCCCGTTTCCACTCACCCCAGGCGTGGCTGCTGCTGGTGGCGCAGATGGCGCACTCAGCAGCGCTGGCTCCCCACCTGCACCAGAAGCCACCTCCCCTCACTCACTCCTTTCACAATCCCCTTGCCTTCCCTCCTCCAACCCCTTACCTCACCCCAGGCGTGGCTGCTGCTGGTGGCACAGATGGTGCATTCAGCAGCGCTGCCCCCACACCTGCACCAGAAGCCACCTCCCCCGCTACAGCTCACCCTCGCCAGCCACGCCGGTGCTGCCGTCTCTGTTCAGCTCGTGGCCGTCCCACCCCTCACCCTCTCCCAATCCACCCCATCATCTTCCTCTGCTGCTGCTGCCGCCGCCGCCGCCGTTGCTGCTGCTGCTGCTGCTGTGGCTGCGGGTGGCAGTGCTGCATTAGCTGTGGCACCGCCTGAGCCTGGTGGTGACAGTGTCACTCTGCTCGTCCGAGACTGCCCCTCCTTACCTGCACCTTCTACTACCTCTGCTGCTGCTGCTGGGAAGCCAACCGTTGGTGGTACTGCATCGCTTGCTGCTGGTGCTTCTGCCGACACTGCGGTTGCAGTGCAAAAGGGAGGAAGAAGAGCAAGTGGAGGGGGGAGCAGCGGGGCAGTGGGTCTCGCAAATCTTTACGCTGCTGCTGCTGCCACTGCCGGTGCAGCAGGCAGCGGCAAAATCCACCCCAATTTAACCGACCTATACACCCTTTCCGGACCTCCTACTAATGCTCCTGCAGCAGCAGGCCCCCCCCTTCCCCCTGGCGCTGCTGTGTCTCTGACACAGCTAGGGGAGGAGGATTTACAGGTGCTGAAGGCCCTTGTGAGGAAGGAGGTGGAGGAAAAGGTGGGGCGGGAGGCGCGGCAGCGGGCGGCGGAAGAGCTTCAGGAGGAGCTAAAGACAAAGCATGCCGCCCTCATGGCTTCGCTGACAAGGGAGATTGCGATGCCCCTGAATGGTAGGTTAGGCATGGTGACGAAATGGGTGGCAGGGGAGAGGAAAATGTTGGGAAGAGAAGACGGGAATGGAAAGATACGAATGTCATTTTGTTGAAGTGCCTAAACCCTGTTCGCCCACAACTCCCACTTGCTCCATACTCCCCTTGCTCCCTTCTCCCCCTGCTCCCTTTCCCCCCTTGCCCCTTTCCCCTGTTGCCCCTTTCACTCCCTTGCCCCTTTCTCCCCTTTCTCCCCCTTGCACCCAAACCTCCTCCTGCCCCCTTTCCGTCCCCCCTTCCCCCTCCGCCCCCCCCACACCTCTCGTTCCCCCTTTCAGCCATGGCAAGTGTGGCAGACTTTCTTCTCAACTCTCGCGCGCTAACACCTGACCAGAGGTCCCTAGTGCAACTCCTCCTCTCCTCTGCCGAAAGCCTCTCCCAAACCCTCGCCCGCCTCCTCAAGTCCCCCGAGGCTGACCCCGAGGCTGTTCCCGAATCTGACGACGAGGATGACGAGCCTCCGAGGCTGGAGCTTCGGGAAACGGACCTGCACCGAGAGGTACGGCTTGGAAAGGAGGAGAAATGGGGTGAAGAACGGGCAGAGGGAAGCGTGGGCGGAGGAGAGAGGGTGGGACAGAGCAGAGGGGAAAGGGTGGGCAGAGGGGAGAGAGAGAGAGCGTGAGGAGAGGGTAAGAAGGGGCAGAGGGCAGGTGGGATCATGGGATGGCGTTGGAGGGTAGAGGAGGGAGGGGGTGACACAGACGGGGGTGACACGAGGGTAGCACTCCTTTCCAAACCCTGTTGTTCCTTCCAAACCCCCTCCCCGTTTCTCCCCTCTCAGGTGCGCGAGTGCGTGAGGCTGATGGACGTGCATGCCAAGGAGAAGGGCCTCGCCCTGCTGTGCGGTATCGACTCACGTGCTCTCTTTGCACCCACTGCTGTTCGTCCCTGTATCTCCTTCCTCTGCACCCTCCTTCCCCCCTCCCCCATCAGGTGCGCGAGTGCGTGAGGCTGATGGACGTGCATGCCAAGGAGAAGGGCCTCGCCCTGCTGTGCGGCATCGACTCCGCCGTGCCGCAGTTCATCCTCTCTGACGGCCCCGCCATCCGCCAAGTGCTGCACAATCTCATCTTCAACGCCGTGCAGCACACCGACAGGTAAATGATAGGTGCTGCTGCTTGTGCTGCTCATGACTGGTGAGGTTCCTCTATAAGCTGTGCAGCGCAGTTCATCCTCTCTGACGGCCCTGCCATCCGCCAAGTGCTGCACAACCTCGTCTTCAACGCCGTGCAGCACACCGACAGGTGGGTGGGTAATTGTGGTGCTGCTTGCAGTGCTCCTGGTACTGACTGACAGCTCATGACTGGTGAGGTGCCTCAATAGGTGCCGCAGTTCATCCTCTCTGACGGCCCTGCCATCCGCCAAGTGCTCCACAACCTCGTCTTAAACGCCGTACAGCACACTGATAGGTGGGTGGGAATGGCAAGCAATAGGACAGTGGCCACCTTCCTGGAGTGGCACAGTGGGCCTGCCATCCGCCAAGTGCTGCACAATCTCATCTTCAATGCAGTACAGCACACCGATAGGTGGGTGATTGGTGTTGTACTGACTGACAGCTCATGACTGGTGAGGTGCCTCAATAGGTGCCGCAGTTCATCCTCTCTGACGGCCCTGCCATCCGCCAAGTGCTGCACAACCTCATCTTCAACGCCGTACAGCACACTGACAGGTGGGTGGTTGGTGCTGCTGGTTGTACTGCGGTTTGTGGCATTACTCCTGGTGGTTCTCATGCTACTGGCCGCTCATGACTGGTAAGGCGGCTCAAATAGGCAGCTCATTTAGTTCATCCGCCTCTCTGAGGCGTCTAAGCTCATAGTTAGAAGGGCAGCAGTACTAGAAAGAATCGCTTAAGCAGCAGGAACAACAGTGAAAAAAACGTGAGAAAAAAATAGATATGGAAAAAGGTAGATTCCGCCTAAGGCGGCTCAAATAGGCAGCTCATTCAGTTCATACGCCTGTCTGAGGCGTGGGGGTGGGCAGCACTGGGCACTGCTGCGGTAGCCACCTTCCTGGAGAGACACACTGCTTTGCGCCTCTCCGTCATCTCTCCAGGACTGCTGTAGCCACCCTCCTGGAGAGACACACTGACGTGATAAAGTAACATTTTGAGACGTCTCAAAATGTTACTTTTATCATGCGGTAGCCACCTTCGTGGAGAGACGCACTGCTTTGCGCCTCTCCGTCGTCTCTCTCCAGGTCCAGGACTGCTGTAGCCACCCTCTGGAGAGACACACTGACGCAGCCTCACCTCTCCGTCATCATCCCTGCCCTAATGGCCCCCCCCATCATCCCTGCCCTAATGGCCCCCCTTCCCATCATCCCTGCCCTAATGGCCCCCCTTCCCATCATCCCTCAGGGGCGACGTGACAGTGTCAGTGCGCCTGGCGTCAGACAAGGAAGCAGAGGAGCATCATGTGAAGCAGCGCCGCAAGGACAGCGCTTCCCTCTAGAACTCCTTCTCCCTCCCCCCCCCTCGTGTTTTCACTGCTCTGCCCGGATGCTTTCTTTCTTCCCTCAGGGGCGACGTGACAGTGTCAGTGCGCCTGGCGTCAGACAAGGAGGCAGAGGAGCACCGCGTGAAGCAACGCCGCAAGGACAGCGCTGCTGTAGCCACCTTCCTGGAGAGGACAGGCACCACTTACCTACTCTCACGTCCACCCCTCTCCCTCCTGACCTCCCTCCTCTCTGTTATTGCCTCTCAAATACCCACTTCTTTCCCAGGGGTGACGTCACAGTATCAGTGCGCTTGGCGTCAGACAAGGAAGCAGAGGAGCACCGCGTGAAGCAGCGCCGCAAAGACAGCGCCGCTGTAGCCACCTTCCTGGAGAGACGCAGCAGCAGCACTCGCAGAGGAGGCGTGGGGATGGGCGGGGGAGGGGGAGGAGCGGGGGAGGATGGGGCGGGGCAGGGCGAGGCAGGGTCGGTGCTGCTGCGGTTTGAAGTGCGGGACACAGGCAACGGGATCAACGCAGAGCTGCTGGCTGCCCTTGTGCAAGAGCTGGAAAAGGTAGGACTGGGGGAGGTTGGTTCTGAAAGGGCCCTCTTTTGAGCTTAATTGGGTCGGTGCTGCTGCGGTTTGAGGTGCGGGACACAGGCAGGGGGATCAATGCGGAGCTGCTGGCTGCTCCTGTGCAAGAGCTGGAAAAGGTGCGTCTGGGGGTGGTTAGTTCTGGAGAAGGCTCCTTCTGAGCTTAAGCAGGCTGGTGCGGGACACAGGCAGGGGGATCAATGCGGAGCTGCTGGCTGCTCTTGTGCAAGAGCTGGAAAAGGTAGGTCCTTTCCTTTTTTAGAATTCTCAAAAAACGAAGTAGGACCTTTCCTTTTTGCTCCCATTCCTGTTACACTAACTTTCTTCTGACGATATCATACACATAGAATCCTTTGTCAATGCCCCACTCCTTACTTACTTCTACCCTTCTACCCTTCTCCACCATCCCTGCCCTACCCCCCACCCCTCCCACCACATCCCCCCTTCCCTTTCCTCCTCTTCTCTCCTCCAGAGCAAGCCATCCCCATCCTCCCTCGTGTCCTTCCTCCTGGGTCGCCCCTTCGCCACCACCGGCCCCCTTCCTTCCCATGCCTCTCTCACCTCTCCCTCCCCCCCAACTACAACCCCCCCCCCCCCTTCCCTCTTTCCAGAGCAAGCCATCCCCCTCGTCCCTGGCATCTTTCCTCCTGGGTCGACCCTTTGCCACCACGGGCCTCGGCACAGTCCACGCTCTCATCTCCCACGCCCTCATCCCCGCCCCCTCATCCCCCCCTTTTCCCCCTCCCTCCTTCCAGAGCAAGCCATCCCCATCCTCCCTCGCGTCCTTCCTCCTCAGTCGCCCCTTCGCCACCACAGGCCTCGGCACAGTCCACGCCCTCATCTCCCACGCCCTCATCCCCGCCCCCGGCACCGCCGCCGCCGCTGCCCTCGCCGCCATCGCCCCTTCCATCTCCGCAGGAGGAGCAGCAGGGGGAGGGGGAGGCGGGGCAGGGGGGGCTGGAGGAGCAGGAGGAGGGCTGGGAACTTTCAGCAGGTCGAGTAGTTATTCGAGTGCGGCGGGGGTGGGGGTGGTGGGCGGGTGGGGGGCAGGAGCAGTGCACTTGCAGAGTGAGGTGGGGAGGGGCACGTCTGTGGTGTGTTTCCTGCCGGTGCCGCTCGCCTCGTGCCAGGACATCACTCCTGAGGACCTGAATCCACACCAGCCGTTGGACATGGACGTGTGGACAGAGCTTCCCAACGCGCGGATTCTCATAGTCGATGTGAGTGTGTGCGACTGAGCATGTGAGTGTGTGCGACTGAGCATGTGAGTGAGTCTGTCTAGTTTAGGATTGGCCTTCCTTTGGGCTTGTCTGCTTCCTCCTACCAGTGCCGCTAGCATCGTGCCAGGATATCACTCCGGAGGACTTAAACCCACACCAGCCGTTGGACATGGACATGTGGAGAGAGCTGCCCAACGCGCGCATACTCATCGTCGATGTGAGTTCCACCGGGGTATCAGTCTCGCCTTTTGCTGCAACGAACCACACCACACCCACCTCAATCCACACCGGCCTCTCGAGATTTGTGGACGAAGCTGCCCAACGCGCGCATACTCATCGTCGATGTGAGTTCCACCGGGGTATCAGTCTTGCCTTTCACCGGTGAGGTAAAAGCCGTTGGACATGGACGTGTGGTATCAGTCAATCAGTCTCGCCTTTTACCTCACCTCACTGCAGCACCCCACGCAACACAACAACCCCACCCACCCCACACCACACCACCACCCCTTCTCTTCCCCTCTTCCCCCCCCGCCCAGGCCAACGACATGCACCGGCAGGTGGCGCTCTCTATGCTGCGCTCCACGGGCGTGTCCTTTGACGTCGCACGCATGCTTACACATTGCCCCTCTCTCCCCTTCTCCCCTCTCCCTCCCTCTCCCCCTTCCCCCCCCACCCAGGCCAACGACATGCATCGCCAGATGGCGCTCTCCATGCTGCGCTCCACGGGGGT